GCAATCAAATAAATCATCTAAGGGATATCCATCATATTACTAAAGAATCACTTGCGAATACATCAGTGAAAGTTCACTAGCAAACAATTCAGCAAGTAATAATGAAACCCCATTTTTCTTCTGTTCAAAAAAAACTTGCAAATCAAGTTGTTCGATATATGGGGTGCCTCATATTAAAACAGCCCATTTTGACAATTTTTGAAAAATTTTTTTATGTGATTTTTAAATAGATATATATTCAATAAAAAAATTTGGTATAAGTCACAAGACCTAATTACATAATAAAAAATTCATAAAAAGCAAAAAAACCCGCAGGACTAATAAAATCTAAAAATAGAATAAACGGATTTCTAGATCAACAAAAAACCGATAGAATATTCCAGAAGCGAAGATCTTTTTAAATTCTAGTAACGATCTTCTTTTAAATTCTAACTAGACTTCCAAAAGGCAAGGTTAAAACCAGTTACAAAGGTTCTCTCTCTTTTTTTAGTAGTTTAGATATAAAACTATATGTAATAATGACCTTTTTTTTTTTCAAACAAAAATTTTAATAGGTAACGATCTAAACTACAGTGCGAAAGAATTGGTTCAAAAACTACCAACTAGTGACGGGCTGAGTTGAAAACTACCAGTAATAAAAGGTAAGAATTGGGATTAAATACCAGTGTTGAAACTTTGTTTTAAAATTACAAATCAAAAATCTAATAGATTAGTTCAAACTATAATAAAGGTTTTTTTTTTAATTTTAGCGGCATAGATTCAAAATTACTAGAACGATTCTTTTTCTTTAAATTCTGTAAGTAATGGCATACAAAATTTTCATGGCAAATATGTGAGAGCCCATGAACCATCTGGCATAGTTGCACTTAAGATCTTGTCTGGTTATAAGGATAATCCTCAAGACTTTTTAAAGGTAATCATTTATTGTGTTGTTTATTAAACGCATGTTGAATTGATTATATACATTTATAAAATATATACTTATGGGTAGCATGCTTAAAACATATGAATTGACTCGAAATGCAAAAACAAATGAATACTTAATAGTATTTCAGTATGCTGATAATGGAGGTGCTCACAAATATTTAAGAAAAAATTTCCGTGATCTTACTTTGCAAACTAAATTAAACCCACTTTTTGATATTTCTAATGGTTTAAATAGATTTCGTTGAGCAGAATATATTTGTAAAGACTTTCAAAGTGGCACTATTTTGCAGGATAAAGGCATTAGTGAAAATATGCTAAAAATATTATGGAAATAATTCAGATGGTGGTATTTATGGTATCATGCCTTATGTCACTCCCGAGGTTTTATCAGGTCAAAGGTTTACAAAAGCTGCTGATACTTACGGCTTCGGAGTCATCATGTCATTTTGAGATGTCAATTGGACAAAACCTTTTGATGATTACGAATTTAATATTGGTCTTACAATAAAATTTGTAAAGGATTGCGGCCTGAATTTGCTCCTGGAACTTCGGATTGCTATATCAAATTTGTTAAAACAATGCATGGATGCTGATCTATGAAAACAACCTGATGTTTATTTGAAACTTAGAGGATAGAATGAAATCATGAAAAGTTCAGATGATGCAAATGACTTAGAAACAGATAAAATAGCCAAAGAATTATCAATTGTAGCTATAATGAGAATTGGGTATTTCATTATGTAGCAACATGAATGCTACATATCAGTATGCCTATTCCTATCTCTGCAGAGCCTAATTACCAAAAATCATGAGGTTCTTGCATTGCTATCATAGCCACAGAGCCTAATCAAATATGAGGTCTTTTTACTGTGTACAGAAGCCATGAAGTTTACTAAACAAGTGCCGGTACACCTTGTTCAATCGGTGATAGTATTTACACATGCCAAATCAGAACTAGTAGAAGAATTTTCTGTCAGGATACAGGATTGCATAATGCATACATGTTACATTATGTTGTATTATGTAATGCAAAGCCAAAAAAATTTGCATTCGCACTCTAGTTATAACTGTTTGGATACGACTAGGGTAGCCACTGATTTTACGGGTCAGGTGGGCTGTAGCATTATTGCAAATGAATTAGTACTATCTATAGTGCTATCGCTATGAAATTTTGACCCTGCACCACACACATGACCCGTAAAATCGGTGGCTGCCCTGGTCGTATTTAACTATTTGTGATTTATATAAATTTGTATCATAAATGTCGAAATAGTGCATTAAAAATTATGCCGCATAAAAAAGTATATTTCATTTTGAAATAACACCCAAAATAATGCTCCATAAAATAGCATAGTTGGTTATTTTATACGCATCTTGAAATAATGTCTATAAAATAGCATTGTTAGCCTAATAAATGCTTTTGCCTCAAACGTGTTCCGAAATAACGCCCCATACACGTTCTGAATAATGCCCCATGCATGTCCTAAAATAATGCACATATGCATTCTAAATGATGTTCTTTGCACGTTCTGAAATAACATCTCATGCTATCCTAAAATAATACTCTTGATAATGCATATTTTATATAATAATTTTTTATTTGTAACTATTGTATTAAAATTGTATTGTCAAAATCTGCATACATAATAACAATATAATTTTATAATTGTAAAATAAAAAAATATAATATATATAAGTTTTTAATCAAAGTAATAATTATAAAATAAATTTTTAAATTAAAAATTTTAAATTTTATTTTACAAAAATGTCTACCTTTTCTTTAAATAAAAGTATTTTTGAGGATACTCATACAGAAAATATCCAATTACAAACTGATCTTTCAAGTTTGCAATTTCAATTTTTAACTTCAGAAAATAATAATTTATTATTATCTGAAACACTTGAAATTAATGAAAATTTAGAAACTGATTCTTTAGAAAATGAGGTATGGACTGAAGCAGAACTTTTAAAATTTAAAATGTTATATCAAAAAACAATAGATAGTTTTGAAAAGCAAGAAAATGATAATCAAAAATTAGAAGAAGAGATAAATTTAATACAAGATAATGATTTTAAAGAATTATTTGAAAAAGGTTGTTGTGAAACAAATTGTTTACAAACTAAATGTGAATATTCAGTAGCTTTATCTAGACATATAAATTTTAGAAATCTTTCTAAATCTTTTCAAGATATGTTTTTATTAGGTATTATTGCAGCTACTAAACGACCTGAAATAGCTAAAAATAATTCAAAAAAATCTAAGCTTACTACAGAATATAATTTTGAAGGAAAAGCTATTTGTTTAAATGCTTTTAAAACAATTTATGGAATTGGTGATACAAGATGGAAAGCATTACGAGAACATTTTATTGAACATGATATTACTTTACGTATTAATTCAAAAACTGGAAAAGTTGGAAATAGGGCAATATCTTTTGAAACTGTTATAAAAATTATTACTTTTATAAATAATTATGCTAAACAAAATGGTTTACCATCTCCAGGTAATTATTAAATTTAATAAAATTATATTTATTTTATTTATTAATTATATAAATTTTTATAGGACGAAGTTTTCGTGATAATACTACTACAATTATATATTTACCAGCTAATATTACTTATTCTTCTTTACATATGCAATATTTGAAAGCAATTAAAACTAATAATCAATTTGAAGTTGGAATAACAACATTTTGCTCAATTTGAAAAAAATTTTTACCACATATTAAAAAATTAACACCACGTAGTGATTTATGTTTAAAATGTAAAGATATGAGATTTAATGCTAATTATTGGTCAGTTGAAGAAAAAGAAACAAAAGTTTTAGAATGGAATAAACATATAAAATGGGCATATAATGAACGAGAAAATTATAAGTAAATAATTTTATAATTTTATTTTAATTAAAAAAATATAAATTAATATATTTAATTTTTTATTAGACAAAATATTAAATTAGCATATAAAGAAATTCAAAATTTTGGAATTAATAATATTATACATCCTGGAAAACCAAATTCATTAGATATTACAGTTCATCTTTCTTGGGATTATGCACAACAAATTCAATTACCTTATTCATCTCAACAAGAGGTAAATTAAATTTTAATTATGAAATTAATATTAATAATATAATATTAATTAATTTATATAATTTATTTATTATTAGGGTGAAATTTATTTTAAATCTTTATATAAAGTTCATTTATTTGGAATATGTGATGATGCATTTCCACGTCAAGTAAATATTAATATTTTTTATTAAATTAATTTATATATTAATATAATTTTTAATTTTTAAATCTAATAGATAAATTATCTTATTAAAGAAAATGAATTAGTTGGTAAAGGTGCAGATACAGTTATTTCTTTAGTTCATAATTATTTTGAACTACATGGTATAGAAAAAAAAAGATTAATAATTCATGCTGATAATTGTTCAGGGCAAAACAAAAATAATGCAATGATAGCATATTTGGCTTGGAGAGTTTTAACAGGACTATATGATAGTATAACTTATTGTTTTATAGTTGCAGGCCATACTAAATTTAGTCCAGATGGATTTTTTGGACTTATTAAATTACTTCTAAGAAAATCTGAAGTAGATAATTTTGATGATTTAGTTAAAATTGTTCAAAATTCTAGTTCTGGTAGATTTAATATTGCACAAACAGTTTTTGATAATAGTGGAAATCAAGTTGTACATTTTTATGAATAGACAAATTGGTTAAAACAAGAATTTACAACAATTCCAGATATATTGAAACAACACTATTTTGAATTTAAAAACATATATCAAGGAAAAGTTAAAATTAGTACTTCATCTAATGGAGAAAAAACAATGATACAAATTAAAAAAATTAATCAAAAAAATCAACTAAATCAATTAGTTGAAAAAAAATTACCTGGTCTTAGTGCAGAAAGACAATAGTATTTATATGATCAAATAAGAAATCATATACAAAATCCTAGCAAAAAAGATGATCTTTGTCCAATGCCTACTATTTCTAAACCAATAAAAAATAAACAATAAAATAAAAATAAAAATTTAATTATAGTAAAATATTTTTCTACAATATAACTAAATATTTTTATAATTTATGATTTTTTATACCCATACTCTCAAAAATAACACCAATATTCTTAAAAACAACTTCATACAATCATGCAATCAAGTAACAATCAATTGATTGCACATGTGAGATGTGACCTGATCAAAGATACATCTGCAAACCATAATAATAATATAAAAATTACATAATAATAACGATTTATTTATTTAATTTTTTATTAAATAAAAATTACATAATAATAACGATTTATTTATTTAATTTTTTATTAAATAAAAATTACATAATAAATACTATACTATTGAAACGCTATTCGTGATTCTAATAATTATGCCATAATAACGGAATATTCATGCCTCATTTCGGTATCAAATTCAACACCAAGCTGACAATATCCTCAAAGCAAAAAAAAAGATAGTACCAAGTTCGCATTAATTATTCCAGTATCAAATTATCGTTCTTCACAAAGCCAAGATCTAAAACAAACTAGTTAGCTTCTCAAAAAAAAAAAAAGTAAAAGTGATACTTATCCCCATTCTAGTACCAAGTTCGCTGATTCCAGTACCAAGTTCGCCAATTTCACCAATTCCAGTACCAAGTCACCTTTTATAAAACCAAGACAGAAAGTTAGTTAGCTTTTGAAAGAAAACAAACAAGAAAAAAGAAATAAAAAACTAATTTAACTGGTTCCAGAATAAGTTCATGTCAAGATTCAATTCCAGTACCAATTCCTACAAAAAAGATAGTTAACTAGCTTCCCAGAAAAAAAAAACAAGAAAACAAAAAAGAAAAAAAAAACTTATCGGGCTAGTTTCACGCAAAGTCTCTATTCCGTTACCAAGTCCGTCAATTCCGGTACAAGTCGCCTTTTATGAATTTTATGAGATCAAGACCTAAAGAACAGAAAGTTAGTTAGCTTCCCGGAAGAAAACAAGAAAACGACAAGAAAAATAATAAAAAAAAACTTATCCAACTGATTCTAGCATCAAGTTCATGCCAAGTTTTCATTCCAGTATCAAGACCTACAGAAAAGATGGTTAGCTAGCTTCCCGGAAGAAAATAAGAAAATAAGAAAAAAACTTATCCAACTGGTCTCACGCGAAGTCTCCATTCCAGTACCAAATTTGCCCATTCCAGTACAAGTCGCTTTTTATGAAACCAAGACCTAAGGAACGAAAGTTAGTTAACTTCCAGGAAGAAAACAAGAAAAAAAATAAAAATAAAATAAAAACTTATCTGACTGGTTCTAGCATCAAGAACACGCAAGTTCCATTCCAGTACCAAGATCTACAGAAAAAATAATTAGCTAGTTTCTCGGAAGAAAACAAGAAAACAAGAAAGAAAAAAAAAACTTATTTGACCGGTTTCACGCTAAAGTTCCCATTCCAGTACCAAGTTCGCCCACTCCGGTACAATCGCCTTTTATGAGACCAAGGCCTAAAAAACAAAAATTTAATTAAAACAAAAAAAAAAAAAAACCAAAAACAAAATAACAGAGAAGTTAACCTGGTGTTCGTGCAAAATGTGTCTGCAATGCTTTTCATCCTGATTTAAAGTTATTACTGGGATGTTTCAAAGACGGCGTAGTCTTTTTGCAAGATGCACCCGCAAAGCATTTCCTAATCACCAGAAAAATTCAAAGAAGTCAATGTGGTGATTTTGTAAAGTGCGCTTGCAAATGCTTTTCTTATTTCTGATCTAAAAACATGGCATTCTTGCAAAACGTGCCTACAATGTTTTCCTTCTTCTGATCAAAGGTTATTACCGGGAAGTTTCAAAGACAACAATGGTATTCTTGCAAAACACACTAATTATCTGGAAGATTCAAAGAAGCCAACGTAAAGTGTGTTTACAAATGTTTTTCCACCTTTAGGTCTAAAGTTATTCCAGGAAGCCCAAGGTTTTTACTGGTAGTTTTAAACCTAATCTAGAATTTTTTTAAAAAAAACGTCATTAGTGATAGTTCTAGCTACAATGCACTAGAATTTAAAAAACAAATAATAATAGTATCTTTATACTCAATTAAATTGAACTCGAGAGAAATACTTTCGTTACCGGTAGTTCTGCTCGCAAATCATTATAGTTTTTAAAAAAAAAGGCCAAATTTGCTTAAAATACCTTCTTTTCCGGTAATATTGTTCACGAATCACTCGAATCTAGAAATAGTTACTGCAATTTTAAATCCAAGAATTTTAAAACCAAAATTGCAAAAACTTCGTTATTACCTGACGTAATAGAAATTCTTCATATGTACATGATTGGTCAATTATTTTAGAAGATTCGGAATTTCTAGACTGTCAAAATTACTATTTTTAGATTGCAATTTTGGTTGATCACATGTTATGTTGTGATTTTTAAATTTGATTTGCTCAAAATTGTTTATATGTCAAAATGGGCTGTTTTAATACGAGGCACCCCATATGTAATTCTTTAATTAATAAAGATGTTAATATTCTATCTGTTACTTTTAAGTAGTCTATTTATCTGTTAAACTTTTTTTTTTAAGGTTATCGATTTCATTCACTTATTTAAACTCCTAAAATTAAATAAGCAATATGTTAAATTATGGGGTAATCAAATCTATATAGTAAGAGGTATAAGTAATAACAATCCTCTTTGATCTTGGCATAGTGATCAGAGATTTATATAGTTTTTTAAATATGTATCAATATGTATTCTATATCTTTTTATCAATTTTTTAAAGAAAAATCTCTAAAGTTTCAGGTCAAAACAGCCAAAATACATCGTAATTAGTGTCAGGATTAGAGTTATAGTTAGCTATGCCAGTTAGCAAAAGCTATAGTAAATAGGTATTTTTTTTTACTTAATAAACAACTATTTCATTAGTAAAATTTTTAAGCAAAATTGATCAATTCCTGTATATCTTATTAGTATTCTAATGTATTCTGACTCAGAATTTTTAGAATCTCTTTGTATAAGTTCTCTTTGCCATACTATTTTGGTTTTCATATTATTATACATATCTTTTATATTTAGTGTTTAATATAGCTTAGCACAAATTTTAAAAATCCTATTGTAAAATATTTTACAAAAAAAACAATCTAAAAAAAAAGTGAAATTATAATTTAAGTATAGTATAGTATATTATATTAATAAAAAATTAAAAAAAAAATCAATAAAATTATTATTTCTAATTAATAAACTATCACAAATGAGAGGAGTAAATAATACTTTGTACCTTAAATTTTATAATTTATTTTTATTATATTTAGCTTTTAAAACCTTATAGTACAATAGTAATATCTATAAATATAATCTTATATAATATGTATATATCTGATCAGATTTTTACAAGCTAAATTTGATAAATGGGCTGCTATTAATAAAATTCAGGCATATTGACATTTAAAAAAAAAATCTATATCTAAACTTTTATAGCTCATATATTGATGAATTTTGACGCTATTTTGATTCAATATTCAAAAAAAATTTAAAACTTAATCTTTTTTTTTTAAATATTAAATTATCAAGCTAGTTTCCAAATTTATCGATACATGAGCTATAAAAGTTGAGGTATAGATTTTTTTTAAAAATATCAATCTATCTAAATTCTATTGACAGTAGCCTATTTATTAAATTCAGCTCATAAAAATCTGATTAAATATATATTATATATAATTATATGTTATAGATGTTACTATTGTATAATCAGATTTTAAAAGCTAAATCTAATAAAAATAAATCATAAAATTGAAGGTTTGAAGTATGATTTACTCCTTTCATTTGTTAATTGGAAATAATAATTTTATTATTTATTTGATTTTTTTTTAATTATTTATTTAATATAAT